GGGGGGCAAAAATGAGCAAAGTAGGAGCATCTGCCAAAGGCTCAACCAAAAAGCAAAAAGTGCAGGTCAATGTTGCAAATCTGCAAAAGAAACATTTTTTTTTTTTTTTAATCATTTAGAAATGTTGCTCTCTCTGGATCAGTTCCTCCAAATCCAAGGCCATGGTCTTGAGCTGGAAAAGGGTAGACTGCTTTCTCCAGGTCAGGGAGGAGGTCCTGCCCCAAGTGGAGGAGTTTACTAAGTATCTCGGGGTCTTGCTCACGAATGAGGAAAAAATGGAGCGAGAGATCGATAGGTGAATAGGTGCGGCATCGGCAGCGAAGCGGGCGTTGTACCGGTCTGTCGTGGTGAAGAGAGAGCTGAGTCAAAAGGCGAAGCTCTCAAGTTACCGGTCGATCTACGTTCCTACCGTCATCTGTGGTCATGAGCTTTGGGTTGTGACCGAAAGAATGAGATCACGGCTACAAGCGGCCGACATGAGTTTTCTCTGCAGGGTGTCTGGGCTCTCCCTTAGAGATAGGGTGAGAAGCTCAGTCATCCAGGAGGGACTCAGAGTAAAGCTGCTGCTTCTCCATGTCGAGAGAAGCCAGTTGAGGCGGCTCGAGCATCTGGTTTGGATGCCTCCCACTGGGAGGAGACCCAGAGGAAGACCCAGGACACGCTGGAGGGACTATGTTTCTCGGCTGGCCTGGGAATGCCTTGGGATTCCCAGACAGGAGCTGGCCCAAGTGGCTGGGGAGAGGGAAGTCTGGGCCTCCCTTCTTAGTATGCTACTCCCGCGACCTGACCCCAGATAAGGAGATGAAAATGGATGGATGGGTGGATGGGTGGATGCTCTCTCTCAGTCTTTGAGTATCATGTTGGCATCAAATCCTAGATTTACTTTCTAAATAAAAAAGTGAAGACAGAAAATCGTCTCCTTGTACTTGTTTACTGTTAAATGAAGGTTCAAATAAAGAGTAAATTACACATTCTTAACTCAAAAAATAGTTTGTGACTATAAAATAAAGGTAACTTACTGCTGAAAGCTTCTGGGTATTGCTTAGCAATCTTCCCTTTCAACGTCCTGGAGAAAGTAAAGGCAGAGCAGCAGTCAGATGTTGGTACATACGTCTCTGTGCGAAACCAGCAGAGTCGAGACTTACCTGATCCTTCTGAAGATGCTATCCAGGTCTTTCTTCATCTCCACCAGGGTGCGGGTGTGGAGCAGGAAGCGCTCGTTCATCTGCTGCAGTCGCACATTTGACAGCCCGTTAAAGTTGATCAGCATTTCATTGGTTTTCTCAAAGCGATCGAGCCTGTTTGCACAAAAATTACAAATCAAATGTCAATTTATTTCCATAGCACATAAAAACAACTAAAGTTGACCAAAGTGCTTTACAATTAAGGCAAACTAAAATTAAACAAAACAAAAAAAGAACAAGAAAATACATCTTGTGTCACTAAGGAAACACAAGAAAGTTAACAATAAAATACAACACAACAACAATAAAGATCAGCTCTAACTTGTTCTCAGACTCTGCCTGGATCAAATGCCAAGGAAAAAAGATGAGTCTTGAGCAAAGATTTAAAAGTCTCAACAGTCTCTATGATTTTTAAATTATCAGGTAAACTATTCCACAATTTTGGAGCAGCAACTGCAAAAGCCTGATCACCTCTGGATTTTAGTTTGGATCTGGGGACATAAGAGAAACTGGTTGGTAGTCCGGAGTGCTTTAACTGGAGTGTACTGGTAGATGTTAAAAACTTCACATAAATAAAATGAGGCCAGACCTTTAAATACTTTAAAAACGAGCAATAAAATCTTAAAATCAATTCAGAAGTGGACAGGAAGCCAGTGGAGAGAAGCCAGGACAGGGGTTATGTGTTCATATTTTCTAGTTGCTGTTAAAAGACGAGGTGCTGGATGGTTTGCGAGCGATGCAAAGATGATTATCTAAACCAACATATGGGACGGTTGTGGCTGAGTGGTTAGAGCAGTCATCCTCCAATTGGGGGTTCGATTCCACCAGCAGTCACATGCCTAAGTGTCCCTGGGCAAGACACTGAACCCCTCATTGCCTCTGATGTGTGTCCCCTCCATGTATGAATGTGATAAAGCACTGATTATTATTTGTATAGATCTGCTAGAGTGCTGTATGAATGGGTAAATGAGGACACAGATTGTGTTGTAAAGTGCTTTGAGTATCTCGATAAGATAGAAAGGCGCTATAGAAGTACAGTCCATTTACCAATATACAAAGCATACCTATATTCTACACAGATCAAGACAGACATAAAACCAATCAGCATCCACAGGACAGTTTTAAATCTACTGTCAGATAAGACTCAGACTGATACACACATGTGCCTTTGAGCCTGGATGATGGCATTCACATCTTCAGAGTTCACCATGCTCAGCATCCTGTTACAGAACACACCAGAAGCTGTGGGCTCCACCATCATGAAGCTGCAAACACAAACGCGTATGAATAAAAACAGTTTAATGATGAAAATGGTTAACAAAAAAAGATAACATGACAGAATATCTAAGCAAAGACAAAACAGATAACCTGCGATGACATTTAAGCTAATACAAAACATTTCCTTTCATCAAGTACTTTTTACACATTTATTGGAAGATTTTTTTTAAATTTTATTTATAAAATATATATATCGTAAGCTAAAAAGAGAAAGAAAGTGACGCAATTCTAATCACATACCTTAAACGGATATTTGCTATTTATTTAGAAAAGGACTACATCTGACAGCTGTCTGGAAAACAAAAACAGAAAACTTCCGTATATTTTAGGTTTCACTTCCGGTCACGAGAAAGCAGTTTCCGGTTCCTTTTTTTTCTTTCGCTGTTTAAAGCAAATATTGTGTTTTATATTACAGTCTTAGCTTTTGAAAACTAATATTAGTAATATTTTATTAGTATAATTAATGCAAAAAATTATAATAAACTGTCTATAGTTTAAAAGCGGGTAATGTTTAACGTCTGTAGTGTATTAGCGCCCCCTACTGTACTGGAATGAGTACAAAACCTTTTTTTTTATTTCCAAACCCTGAATAAGATTTTAATTTTTACTCTTCCCAGAGCAAAATGAACAGATTCAATATATCTCTTCATTTTAAGACATCTTTGCTATATTTATTTATGTACTTCTGTTTTCCTGCACTCAGAAATAACATACTTTACTGTTTTATCCTTAAATAAACAATTCAGTCCAGACAAATATGTTTTGTCCAAATAAGACATTTTTGCTCTATCAAGTGTCGCTCTTTCACATTTAGCTTTGTTTTCTGATGTGCAACAATTTTCTCATTAAATCTTTTTTCAATCTAATTGTAATTCTAACTAACATGGGCACTACAGTAGCCCCAGTACCAACTTTTTTTCAAAATTTATATCGGTTTTTAGATTCAGAAATGTCAGAATACTCTCAAATTAAATATATTAGGTATCATGCACATTAGACTAATTGGTGCAACTTTAGATTTTACGTTGAGCACTTTTGTCAACAAATAATATTTTTAGATGTGCTAAATAACTTTGCCTTGACCTGTAACATTAAAAAATGAACAAAATCTGTATTTAGAAAGAAAAAAAAACAATTTAATAGTTTATTTTTGCTATAAATCAGTAAATAAACCCTAATAAAACAAATACAAATTTTCATTGTTGAAAATCTTAACTTTGAATAAAATTATGTGGAAAAAATGTGGAACCAACTTGCAATTTCTGTCCGTGAGGCTGACACATTGTCCAGTTTTAAGACTTTTCTTTTTGACAAATCCTTTTAAAAGGGAGTTTTTTTCTTTCCACTGTTGCCACTGTGCTCGCTCAGGATGGGAGACTGCAACGAAGTGAAGATTCAACAAGTCTGCTGGCTTCCTTAGATAGAAAACTTTACTAAATGGCTTTTCTATGTATGTGAATGTTCCTGTAAAGTGCCCTGAGACAACTTCTTTGCGAATTGGCGCTATATAAACTGAATTAAATCCCCAAGGAGACATGTTAATATCATCGTCTGACACTGAACAGTTTTTAGCAGCTGCTACAAAAGCCTCCCTAATATTAAAAAACGGGGACAAATCTTATTTTGACTTAACTTGGCTCTGTAAAAGCACAAATGACGTCACAAATTCCAGAAAACTCACAAAATTACTTTTATTAAGGGACAAGTAAAAAAAGTACATGATGTATAAAAAATACAAAACCGCCTTGTCTAACTTGTAAGCTCGTTAAATGCATAGCAACAGTACATGCACGTCTATGGTTGGGTATCCTACAGTGTCCCACTACTCTAACATTTCTTTAAGCTACACAGTAAAAAGGGGAGAAACTACAGTTTGGTTGCAATCTATCAGTTGTTACAGCTTACATGATGCAGAGATGATACAGAATAAGTTAGGTTGCACGCAACTCAACCGATGAGCAAATAAATACTAAACATTTCACAAATATCGACAACCTGCAACTCCAAATCAACGCAGCGTTAAAAGGAAGCCCGCGTCAGAATCACATTCGTTTTTTTTTTGTTTTTTTTCAAAAAAGGATGAAAAGATAAAAGAGGATTTAGAAGAAAAAAAAGGAGTTTTATCATACAACACTTCTAAGCTGAATACAAATAAATATGAAATAAATAAATATTGAAACCTGTACGGGAGCCGCACGACCCCGCATGTACAAAACCCCACCCGCAGCTCCAAGCAACAACGCTGTGAAAGTTCATATTAGTGTCCATTTTTTTGAATACCATAAACATACATACAAATGATCCGGACAAGCACACGTGTCCGGAGAAAACCTGCATTGATTTGACATTGGGTGAATTTCAATGTGCTTTGGCTTTCATTGGATAAATAAAGTTCATATCAGGCTATACATCACAACACATTTGTGGTATATTAGAGGCAATGGCATAGAATTTCAGCTTATATAAAGACTTTTAGCATAAACGGATCCAGAAATGATGAAAATCACTGATGTGGGTATTGCTCAATGACGATAGACCGATTCTTTTGCGTGTTGCTGTCGTATTTTGGGGTATTGTTATGCAAAGACACTTCTATTTTAGCTTCATTATTTGATAAACATACAAAAATAAGTTACATTGATTCAAAATAAAACAAAACAAAAAGCTAAATTTACAATTTCTGTAAGGCCATGCAATTTTTGAAGAACCGAGCATGAGATTATTTCAGGGCTTGTGGCTGAGTGGAGTTTTTGTCATTCATGTGTGTTGCTGAGGCCACGACAAACCAAGCTTCTGTCCCTTTTTGTTCCTTAACACCAAATCCAGAATGAACACTAGCACTGTCCGTAACACGATTAAGGCTGGTGTCGCTTTGTTTCGCTGTTGAGACTGTGAATAGGCCTTATATATTTAAACGGGATCCACGTGCACACGAACTCTTAAACACAAAACCTTTCCTAAGAGCGAACGCCACTGAGAAAAGACAAAAGACGCAGGGGGGCTACTGTACACGTCTGTGCTCCGTCAGCGTAAAGTCCCATTCGATCCAAAATGCACCACTCCCCCCAAAAGAAGGAGATAATAAAACTCTACTCTCGTTTACATCAGTAATGAACCGAGTACACAATTTTGTTCCACCTCATGTACCACATGTGATGCGAATGACAATAAAGAACCTTGTAATATGAAGTCTTATAAAATGTCCACAGTGAGAATGGGCCGAGCGTTTGAAATGTTGAGTAATGGACTTCAAGTAGCACCGTTGTTTTTGTTTTCTTCCTGTGAATCGTGGATGTATTGCGTTTTGGAATAAAGTCTGTTAAAATGTACCAGTGAACCAGAGCTCCAGCATTTCTTCCAAAGTAGATCGAATAAACACCACAGATAATGGTCCGTAAAAACATTAAATACAAAAAAAAAAAAAAAAAAAAAAAAAACTGAATCAAATAAAGTTCAAAGAGACAAACAAGAGTCAATAAGTTACCATTTAACCATTATAGACAATCCAGGCGGAGAAGACCCGAGAGATCTTTAGCTGCTTTTGACTGAAGGCAATCTGAGGCGCCGTCTTCCTGCGAGAGCTCGGGACAGAAAAAAAATCACAAGAAAATTTAAATCAAACTCAAAATAAACGAGACGCGGCCCGAGACTTCTTCAGAGACGTTGCCAGATGTGGGGGGAGGGGGCGCTCGACTTCACCAGCCTCCCGCCGCCACCTCCTCCCCGCTCCTGACTGGAGGCGTTGTCACGGTGACGCACAGCTCTGCATTCTTCTCGCCCGTAGGCGTCTCCTTCACTCCCTCCTCCAGCTGGGGTTTTTCCACCCCCACTTGGCCTTCCTCTACCTCGACCTCCTCCTCCTCTTCCTCCTCCTCCTCCTCTTCCTCTTGTTGCTGCTGCTGCTGACGCTGTTTGTTGCGGCAGCACGGTTTGAACAAATGGGGGTCGATGAGCACCTCCCCGAAGCGACCCTTGTAGATTATTCCGCAGCACACCTTTTGCCTGCATTAGACACAGATGATGGATTTTAAATAAAACCAAGAATAAAACTTCATGGGATTTAAGCTGCAGGGAATGTAAAGTGCACGTGACATGCATATACAAAAAATAAGTGGAATAAAACATCTTCACATTTAAGAAATTCTGCACATTCACACCCTTTTGGTCACTTAACCGTTCCAGTTTCCTTATACTTGGCATTGCCAAAGTAAAACAGGAAGTGACATCAAAAGGGAACTTCCTGCTTTATTTAAATTCTCATATTTATTACAAAAACTGGATGTCACGGGTACTTTAAAGCGTCACAATTTACTCTAAATCTGAAAATAAAACAACAGAAAACTATTATGTAAATATCACCCACCATCCCAGGAGGGTGATAATGTTTCGATCACGTGCGCCCCGTGAAATATCACATTTCTTCTCAACATTAGGGATTTTTAGTTTAAAATGTTGATGTGGAGGGCAGCGGGTGACATGCATTCCTTCACAAATGCTAGGCCTTTAATGAGTCAAGTTTCTAGAAGTTTCCAGACAAAACAATAATAATAATAATAAAATAAAAATAAATATTTCCTGGGTGTTTTAGGGCTGAAATTTGCACCCTAATTCCAGTACTGGTTTATAAAATGTTTAAGCATCTTTGAGTATTTAGAAAAGCGCTATACAAATAAAATGTATTATTATTATTAAACTTTGTACTTGTACCATCTCAGAGTTGTTGCACGGGGACTGTTTATTTGAGGCTTATTTTTCAGTCTGCCTCCCTTAAGTTCGCTATCAAGAAGTGACACAGGTGTGTTACCATGGTGACCATAATGAGCCGCTGGCGGCAGCATTTCTGTTAATATCTACATTTTCTTTTACAGTCCATACATCAAAAAGCGGCCATGTTTTCTCAGCTCAAATCGTTATAAAGTTTTTTCTTCAGAAATGTTTTCGCCAACGTTTTTATTACTGTAAAATTCTCACGGAGAGCACAAAAGACGTCGGGGGGGAGCGGTGCAATCGATGTCATATCACTTTTACGCAGAATAATTGTAATATTAGGCCTCGCGGTGTTCGAGTGTTTAATTGATGTGCATGACGGGCTCTCTTGTCCTGTAACTGGAGCGGTTTCACCAAAGTGACTCGTGATCAGAACCGTGTGGGTGGACGGAAACATCGAAAGCTGTTTAATAAAACGTCACACCACGAGCTACGTGTCGTTTTAAAGCCCAAACAAAGTGGAAAGACGAGTTCCACCGCCGAGCCGTACCTCTTCCAGTAGGTTAGATCCAGAAAGGAGAAAACCGGGGAGCGGCTGGACCCTGGGCTCAGCTCGGTGTCCGACCCGTCGTCTGACAGGTTGCTGTAGCTGGGGGACTGAGCGGGAGAGGCGCTGGAGGTCGTGCTGTGAGCGTCTGAATCTGACAAAGTGGAGAAATGATGTTAATTCGACGGGAAAATGAATCCACGCTGTAGCTGCGGCACACGGAGCAGAACTAACTGTTTCTTTTGAGCTCCTTCTGCAGACGGCTGATCTGATTCGGTCGCGCCTTCTTGGAGACGGACTTCATCTTCTTGGGTCTGGAGGTGAGCTTCAGGCTGGGGCCTCCTCTGGCGTCAACAACCTGCATGAAAAACGTGGTTGTCAATCCCAAAAGCTCATTATGAGCCAGTAAAAGCAGGAGAAAACACTAAAGCAAACACTCACGTGGTTCCAGTTCTTCTTGGTTCCCACAGGAAGCTTTTTCCACCGCTTCACGAGGAGGACGCAGGCGTTGCAGATCTCTCCGGAACGCGTCTCGCACAGCCTGCAGGACAGTTCGATCCACTTTCAGAGACATTTTCACAAAAACTTCCGCGGTGAAAAAGACGAGCGGGCAGACGGCTCGTGTCTCTTACCCAAAGCAGCTCCTGAAGTCCTTCTCGTACCTCTTGCTGTCCGTGAAGCGGGAGCTGGACGACTTTGCGCGGCAGATGCAGCATCCGTCCAAACTCCGGTACATTTTGGGCTTGTGAAAGCCAAACATCTGCGTAAAGAGTACTTTTTTTAAATTAAATTATGTTTAGACCCTCATCACCCGCTGCCTTTTATGCCAGGTTAAAACTAAAACCGTCTCAACATTGTCACACTCAGTCACGTGTTGCCAACAACTCTCAGCTACTACCACTCCAGATTATTGCTCAGGGTAGGCTAAACTGGCTGAGTTACAGCCATTTTTGTGATGGCTAACGTCGATCAGCTGCGACGGCCATCTTACAAACCAGTTGTACATGTGCATTCTAGGATTAGTTTCTATAAACATCATTAAAATCCTTCCAGTGGTTCAAGATATTTTGCTAACTGACAAACAGACTCGACACCAACAGATTCATGCAGAGATCTCAATCCATGAGGAGCACTTAAGAGTATCTGCTGTGAATGACTCTCAGCTACTACCACACCACGTTTTAGCTCTATATCCATAAAACTGACTGATCTATGATCATTTTTGTGTTTTCTGGAATCAGTTGGCTGCAGCAGACATGTACAAATGGCTTAATTTCTAAAGATGATACATGCAGATGTGCATCCAGTGATTAATTCCTGCAAGTTTCATTAAAACCCATCCAGTGGTTCGTGAGCTATTTTGCTAACAGACAGAGAGAGGAGTGCACAAAAAGACATTATTGCCCGCCTTCAGTAATAAAAGCCGCCATGTTTAATATGAACTAAAGTGGAATGTGTTTAGTCATCAGCACCAGAACCATCTCTCTCTGACCCACATGGTGGAAGTAGGTCAGACAGATAATGTCGTCACGCTGCGCTCGCGACGGTTCACGCCACGTTTTGGAAACGCTGCACGCGCATCTGCTCGGAGCCCTCAGGCTCCTCCACGACACGCAGTTCTGTGCATTAATGCACACAAGCCAAAATATTGTTAAATTAAACCGGAAGAAGATAAGGAGAAAGCTGCTGGAAGTGCGCGCGCATCACGCAGGAGTGCGTTGATTTATGTTGCCGGGCAAAATGTATTCACGAGGACACATGTGGACCCGAACTGCGGCAAAAACTGCGAGCCGCGCCCCCCAGACCGGATTTTTTTTTTTGCCATCAGTCCTCGGGGTCTTCTGACAGACACAGAGAGCAGGAAAAGACAGACCTCTCACTCTGCCGATTATTTCGCATATAATTTGTAGTCCTGCAATAAAAGGTATATGTA